ACCTCTTCCAACTCTCTCTCTCTCTCTCTCTCTCTCTCTCTCTCTCTCTCTCTCTCTCTCTCTCTCTCTCTCTCTCTCTGTGTGTCTCTCTCTGTCTCTGTGTGCGTGTGTGTGTGTGTGTGTGTGTGTGTGTATCTCTCTCACACACACACCTCCTCCAACTCTCACGCACAACTCTCCAAACTGACTGAGGGATCGATACGTGTCACAGTGAACTAGGCAGGGGGGGTTATGAGCTCTTTGAGGAGAAAAAAACCTGTCTTAGCAGTGTTGAGGCCAAAACACACAGTCCCTCTGACCATCCTCGTCACAACGACAATGAACAAGGCGACCGTCTCCCTCCACAACGTCGATCTGTACACGACGTCTATCCCTGGCAATGCTTTCAAAAGCGGATTCGTCAAAAAGAAATCTCTCTGCTCAACGATCCTCTTCCTTCGCAGCTTGGAAGAGGTTTCCGCAGCTCCACCCTCCGCCGTCCCCTCTCCCACCTCTCCCACCTCCACACCGGCTGTGGTAGCCGCAGGTGAGAACTCCTCCAGTCGCAGGAATATTAGCATCTCAAAGTGCACATCTGAGTAGAAGTGAAAGAAGGGTCGGCAATGCTGCGTGAGGTGCACGACCATCGCATCCGTTTCCTCGTTGTACCACACCGACCGAATGGTGGCTCCCTGCCGCAAGTTCACAGACGACCAGAACTGGTAGACGGCCAACAAGTCGTCAGCCGTTCCTAGGTTGATCAAAAAGTGCTTGAACTCCACACTACTTGGACAGTAATAGCGTTCGACTGCCCGTGCCTGCATATACCCGGACATATTCTGCACCACCATGTGAACCACCTCCACAATGTCTTGTTCAGGCTTCTCCATAGCTGCCGCTGAGTCCTCTCTCTCTCTCTCTCTCTCTCTCTCTCTCTCTCTCTCTCTCTCTCTCTCTCTCTCTCTCTTCTGAACTCTCTGAAACTTCTCTCTCTCGTGAACTCTATTTTTAGAACTACCTACTTTGAATTCCCCCAACTCCGTTCTCTCCCTTTCCCTCCACTGTCTTCTCTTCTCTCTCTTTCCCTGAACCGTCCCCTTACAGTCTTGTCTGCAGGTCTCTTCTCTCTCTTTCCTTCCTAGCACGCCGTTAACCACCTACGCCCCCCCTTTGACAATGCATGAAACAGCTAGACCGATGGTCCCCCCTTTAGAATCCCCCCCTTAAAATGAATGGATCAGATATATACCTCCGCGGCTCTGCAGTCTTCACACTGTATGGAAAAGCGATGGCCCCTCATTACCACCACCGTAGGTTTCTCTCGTCCTTCCTGGTAGGATATCAAACCATCTACGCCTCCTTGGCTATAAGCCTATAATACCCTATATAAATGAACCAGAGATGGTCCGCCCTTATTACCTTATTTAATATCTACGCCTCCTTGGCTATAAGCCTATAATACCCTATATAAATGAACCAGAGATGGTCCGCCCTTATTACCTTATAACTTTGCTTGGTGACCGATCTTCTCACGTTCTTGGTAGTCGCCGCGAACATACTCCGCTACAACTTTTCCCTCGACTCCCTCGAGCTAGCGAGGAGACTGGAAAACCGGTCAAAAAGAGCGAAAAACGGCCAGAAAACACAAAGAACGCGAAAATAACAAAACAAACAGCTATGAAGTAAGGGAACTGAGAGTCTATGTGAAGGACAGCGAAGACCGAAGAAAGAACTGGAGCCCAGCTATGGCGTGAGGAAGTGACGATCAGAGTGCACGGAAGTCCTGAGCTCAGCTATGGCGTGAGGAAGTGACGAGCAGAATGAACGGAAGTGCTAACGACCAGACAATTAGAGAAGATAATCGCAGTCTCTGAGAGAGCGGGGAAGCTCCAGCGACAGGTACCATGCATTGCATGGAAAATTTACCATCAACTACTCCCCTCTCCTTCCTCCTCTTCCCTCCTCCCATCAACCGCTACCCTCTCCCTCCTACTCCCCTCCCTCCTCCTCTCCTTCCCTTCGTCCCTACCCCCCCTCCTCCCCTTCCTCGTTGTCCTCCGCTCTTGTGTCCAATAGGGAACTGCAGACGGCTAACGCCGTGCCCGTCTTGCCAGTAGCAGTCAAAATTTTGACTGCAGGACGTTGACCGCTGACCCGACATGCTCTCTGCTTCGAGTCAAACTATCCTCCCCGACAAGTCGCTGCGCGCCATTTATATAGTCCAACTTTCCTATTCTGGCCGTCGATCGCAGTCCGCGTCGTTGATGCTTAACCTTGTCTACACTATGACAGTGACAGTCGCGCCAGTCGCGCCTACCCGTCTTCAGCAAACACAATGCACCCTTACCATGATGTACATCGATCGAGACCGTATCAGACCAGAAACAACGCCTATATGCATTGCATTCATAATAAGCGGTCGTGCGCGCGTTGTGTTCGGGGGAAGTAGGTGGGTGGTCCTACCGTCGCTCTTTCCTCTCCTCGACTGTGGCGGCCAGTCGTGCTCACGTTTTCCTATCCTGGCCCCTGGTTCGTTGGTCAGCGTTGCCGACCTGATTACGTCCCCACTGCCGCTGTCGGTCAAGTGCAGCTGCCGACCGCTGTGTTTTTTTTTTTTTTTTGTTTTTGTTTTTCAAGGCTAATTTCTTTAAGCCCAACCAATTCAATATCCTGGACAGGACGGCCTTTCAGGCCTTTTTTATTGTCATTATAGTATTCCGGGGAACCCCGTAGCAGCCACATCCGTGCTCAAGCCTCTAACGAGGAAAGATGCGGGAGCTGCACCCACCAGCAGGTGGGCGATACCGGCCAGGGGTCAGCCGGTAGCATCAGGACCGAGCTTCTTTGCTGGGCCAGTCACTGGTCCTCCCCTCCGGTCCCCTAACATCAGCAGTCTCTGCTCAATGCCACTCGGGGACCTTGTCCCACTAGCTCCGATGAGCTAGGTCAACGTGGGGTTTTCGAGCCTGTGTGACTGTACGCTACTGTACGCGACAAGGGAGATGCACGTCATCCAATTCATCTAATGGTCTGTTTTTAATAAAAAGGGAAATAGAGCCCATCTTCTCTTTTTCTTCCAACAAAAAACAGAAATAAATCCTTTCTCTCGAATACTACTACCCCTACCCTCGCCACTTTCCGTTGAACTAGCTGTCTCCTTTTTTCGAGACAGCTAGTTCAAGGACCCTCTTGTTCCCCCAACAGGCGTTTTTCAAGAGAAACTGTACGAGCCTCCTTCCGTTTGCCATTTTTGGACGGGATTCGGGCACCTCTTCATTTTCTGCCGTGGAAGTGCCCGTATGCCACTCCAATTGTGAAAAATGAAAAACGAGAGCAATTGTATTCCTGCCATTTATAAATGCATTTCTCATTTGAAATTGAATTAAAATGATTTTTTTTAGCTGTCGCACCGTTGAGCTGCCTCAACTAAACGGTGCATATGGGACATGGTTCCGGGGGAGCTCGCAGCGTTTTTTTTCTAAAGAAAAGGACAAGGGCGACGGCCTTTATGTTTTTTTTAATGTTTTTTTTTTTTTTTTTTTTCCCGATGGACCACTGATCACAACAGATACTACACTTGATCTTAGCCAAAAGGCCGACACATGGCAGAACGCCAGTTAAAATATGTGAGGTGAGAGAGAAAATATATAGGGAAATTTTCGAGATGCCCCTCCAAATTCCATTATTTGCGGAATACCCCTGTGACGACCTACTTACCTTGTCCTACACCTGGGGCCTCTGAAGTTTCCTGCAGTCCCCGGTCAGCAAGGGGCACAAATTTTTGGGACGCCCTTACCAGACCGCCCGTTCCATTTCGAATCCCTGGTGGCTGTCTACTTGACTCTACTATACCCTCCTGCTGGGGAAGCATCTTTGTGAGATGCCCTTCAGCAGGGAGGCCCGACCAGTTCGAATTCAACTTGCCATGTAAGTTTTCTCTCCACCGTGACAAAAAGTGCTGCAATCCATGCGACGCTCGCTGCCACACGCCACCGTGCTGGAGATCGTTTGTCCCATCGCGCCCCCTTCGACCTCCTGCGATTGCTTCACAAAGGTTGTTGTCCCTCCCCATCTCGCACGCCCCTCTGCCTGCCGTCCTCCTGGCATGTGTGTCTTCTTCTTCTTCTTCTTCTTCTTCTTCTTCTTCTTCTTCTTCTTCTCTCTCTCTCTCTCTCTCTCTCTCTCTCTCTCTCTCTCTCTCTCTCTCTCTCTCTCT